CCGCCTCCTCTCGCGAGACTGTAGACCGCCGCTCCCGGGTCGCTTCTTTCGAAACCCTGGTGGAGGGGGTGGGGGTGCTCCCTCGGGCTTCTCGAGCGCGTGACCGACCCCCTCCCCCGAGTCTAGCTACCCAAATAAATCCGAAATAGGGCTGCCAGGAGGAGTGAATAGGCCCGAACCTCTGTCCCCCTGCCGCTCGGGCCTGGGAACCGCTCTCCCGAGGGCCGAAGGGTGCCGAGCCGAGCTGACTCAGTGCCCACCCGAGGGTCGAGGCCCCGGGAGGACTTCGGTAAGTGGGAAGGAGCTGAGGCTTTCCAAGTCAGTGGGAGCGGAAAGCGGGATGAGGGAAGGGGAGACGAGCGTCTGGAGGGTGAGCGAGAAACTCCGAGCTTGGTTTCCAGGTAGTTGACGCCGCTTTCCCTGAACGCCCTGATTCACCGGGAGCCAGCCGCATCACTGCTTCCTTGACTGCGATTGCGTCAAGATCCCGCCGAGGGAAACTAAGTGCTGACGGTTTTGCGTTGTAGTTGCTACACTAGAGGCAGATGGAAGACTGTGAGGAGAGGCTCGTGAACGCACTCGCCAGAGAAACTTCTTGGGCCGGGTTAATATTAACTTAGGGACTCGGGACACGGATTCCCCTGGGCAAAGTGCTGGGACGGGTAAAGGCCCTTCCCTCTGACCCTCTCCTGAGAAGCAGAGCCGCTATAAAGGCAATTCATCTACACTCTGCGTGCCACCATGTACTCATTTCCTACCTTGAAGGCTTTGGAGGCCTGTTGTAAAGCCAAAACCAGTTATTGGGAAGTACTTTGCCTATGAAAGTCTTGATGACTTTAAGGATAAGTCCATTTGCTGCTCTTACAACTAACTAATCCTGATGACATCTGTATTTCCTGGTAGACTAGGCTAGAGCAGTGATACTGATCTGTAAAAAGTATTTTCGTCACCTGAAATCTTAGAGACTCGCAACAACAAAAAACCCCGCAGTACATCTTTAGCCATGTTCACTTTTGACATTGTGTTGTCACTGTTAGGTTGGGTGACATAATAAACTGGAAGAACCATTGTTCAGTCCCAAAGGTGTGATTATCCAGTATTTATTATTTGTGTCTTTTGGCCATGTTTGGCGAGCAGAACAACGTGATTGTTAGCTTAGATCCTGTAGGCATATAGGACGAGCATGTAGCTTCTGACGGGTTAGACTACGTAGCCAAACTTTGGACTTTTTTTTTTATTTTTTTATTGTTATGTTAATCCCCATACATTACATCATTAGTTTTAGATATAGTGTTCCATGATTCATTGTTTGTGCATAACAGCCAGTGCTCCATGCAGAACGTGCCCTCTTTAATACCCATCACCAGGCTAACCCATCCTCCCACCCCCCTCCCCTCTAGAACCCTCAGTTTGTTTTTCAGA